GCTGATGTATTGTGGGAAAGGAATGAACATCAAATTGAGTCAAGAAACATAGATTGCAGCATCATTTTATCTACACACGTGATATGTGAACTCTGGCAAATCAGCTGGCCTTCTATGCCTCTACTGCTGGGGCAAGAGGGGAGGGGCAAAAAAACATAATGCTTATTAGAGCTTTTTGCAAAATTAAAAACCACTAACTGCTCAATATAGCATAATTCCCAATCCATGCCAAACCCTATATTATGCAGTATAAAGGGAGCCAGAGGGTTGACTGAAGGCCCCTTCCCTCCCGCAATTTTAGCCGTTCCCACAATGCCAGCCTAGACTTTGTCACCAGGAAACATATGCATTTACAAATCTTAGAATTAGATAATTAATTAAGCTGTTCACCAAGCCTCTATTAATCACATACTGTCTGCCAGATATTCTGCTGTCTGCAGTGCACATTGCAAAATGAATTACATATGATCCCTTGGTGATGATTCCATCAAATTCTTTTAGAGAAAACTGGGAAATGAGGACCCAACTGGGAGTCAGAGATATAGATCTTACCAGCTGTGTGATTTTAGATAAGTCATATCACCTCTCTGAACCTCCCTTTGCTCATCTAGAAAAGAGGAGTACACAGTAACCATCCCACAATGGTTTGTTTTTTTCATCCTGTATAGAGAAAATGAGAGAAAGTAGATAACTAGCTTTATAAACCTTAGAGGATATACAAATTACTGTAAGGTGAGGCTGGTTTTTATTATCCAAGGTCACAGAGCTCATTAAAGGGATCCTGGGAAAGTAAGCCACCACAGACTCTGCTTTTCCTCCATGACCCCTGTGACCTTGAGCAACCTGGGAAGAGGTAATTGAGCAGCAACTATTACTTTGGAAGAAACAAAATCAAAATATTGAAGCTATTGACTCACCCTTAAGGCAGTAAACAGTGCTTTGGTCTCTGACCTTTTTGCATCCTGGGGCAGTCAATAACTTGGCCGCTAGATGCAGTGCCTGCCACTGATTTTGATTTGGGAGTAGTTTAACCTTGAACTGAGCTCCAAGTAACCAAGGCAACAGGAAGTCAGCTCCTGCATCGAAGGAGTAGGAATCCATAAATCAAGTCCCTAATGCAAACACGGTGTGCAGGTAGAGGTTTGAGGGGATAAGTGGTCTAGGATAAATTACCTTTGAAAATGAGTGACTGTCCCTCGATGGCTACAGCATTGTTCCAAAGACTTTTTTTAAGTTGTCAATAGAGGTCAACAGGTTATACCAGAAGGCTTTTTATATAGGTTTAACTTTTTGTGTTGTTTCCTCTTGGCTCTATCTTTTAATTATGAGCAGATGTTAGATCCACAAACTTATTAGCATTGTTACTTCCTCATGTATAGGTGTGCTGGCCTCCAAGTGCAATCTTTGGTGCACTTGGTCTTATGTTGGGAATTAAGGATGCTCTGAGCATATCAATAAGAGTGCTCTCCAAAAAGTCTGCTTTCAGAATTTGAAACAATGATCGTCTTCCCAGATGAAAGCCACGCTTGCCTTCATTCCTGCCCCCAGTGTAAGCTATGGTGCTATTTCTCAGTAACCCAGCAGAATGAGGCTATATCTGGATTTCTTTACAGTCAACCTCCAGTCTCAGAAATTCCCCTTCCATGAAAAGAGATATTATGCTGGGAAGAAGCTCCAAATGTCCCACTACCTCACCCTCATCCACCGTGGAGCATCAGCAGATACCCGGAATGTAGACTTCCAGTAGCCATCCTGCTTACTGGTGCTGACTCCCACAGAGTAGTCACTCACCCCAGTCTCCTGAGACCTCTGCTCTCAGATACAGTTTTGTGGATTATTAAGTGTTCTTGGATTCACCTTTGTTTAAAGTTTGTCTAATATTCTTGCCTGTGTATGTTATTTCTGGGACTGTTTCATTATCCTTTCAGAACCCAAAAATGACTAAGAAAAAGTCAGGGCTTTTTTGTTTTCAGATTCATTAGATGGCAAGTAGCAAGTGGTGCTATCATCTAGAAAATTCCAAATTATCTAAGGTTTTTAAAAGAGCTAAATAGTGACTATCTGAATTATAGAGTGTTTTAAGTGTCACTTGTTTTTGTAACACATTCTGTGACATGAACAGAATCTGGAGTAGCAAAGGATGGCCAAAAGGGTTCCAATCAGATCACCTTTCATGAAATGATATAGACTGAGACCAATTTGGATTGTGAGGACTTGCGTGAAAATGGGTACAACTAAAAAATCAGTTTGTTCCCATGTGAGAGTTAAATATCCAACTACTAATCCTGCTTATGGCCTTCATCCTGAGTATATCATAAATGAAGCAAAGAATTAGCTCTCTCACATGTGTCCACAGGTACAAAGATTACTTATCAGTGAGTATTTCCAAAAGAGCTGTTATCCTACAGAAGCCACATGGCATAGCTTCCCAGCAGCATGCCACGTGACCTACGCCTGCATCTATCTAAAGGATATCCTTTAGATAGACACTGCCATGGTGGCACAGAGCACCTAAGTGAGCGATTTTCGTTGGACTCATGCTTGCTCCCCCCACTATCAGATTTTTTAGCCATCAGGCACTATGACCTAATAGACCTACATTTTTCACAAACTGTGTTTATTTTCTCAATGGAAGGAAAAAACAAACATTTAATATATATTTGTGGTTTGAAAAATATTAACAATAAAGAAGGCTGGGAGTAAAAGTAAACACTCCCACTTCCTCAGCAGTCTTTCCTCCAAGTAACCACTGTTAACTGTGTGGAAGGATCTCTTTACAGAGGCTTCTGTATGCGTCTTAAATACACAACCTGTTTGTACCTAGTATACCTGCTTATTTATAAGTGGAGAGCACCATACATATTTGTTTCTAGGCTTCTTCCTGGTTTTGCTTTGCAACCTGTATGCCTCAGATTTTGATATTTGTCTATCTCTACCTTCAAAATGCTATGAAATATAAACTCCCAAAAGCATGAGTTGGTGTCATTATTCATGACATTACAAATGGGAGTTTCAGAGACAGAGATAGAGAGCAGGAGGATGTAGTAGAAGATAAATGTCAGCCTGACTTTCTTCCTTAGGTGGTTACAGGTACTTTATCCAGCTGTGATACTGGAGCCTCTCTATTCTCAGCATGAAACATACTGTCAACAGCCTAGGGTCATGGCCATAGCATAACTAGGTAAATCAAGATGAGCTGGATAGAGCATCTGGCTACCTGGAAACCTCTCACTCTGACATTAAAAGTTATATGAGTTTATTTAGTTCTTTCTTCACCCCTTAGAAATGTATTTGTCCCATCTGTAAAATTGAGAACATAGAATTATCCACACTACATGCTTCACAAGGTTGTCACGAGGTTTACATGAAGCCGATCTCACTGTGGTGGTGAGATGTTACTCTGCATGGGGGCTGCATCACTCAGGCTGGTTGAGATGATTAAAAAAAAAAAAAAAAAAAAAAAAGAAGTCAAGGACTACTGGGATTGAGCCAGCAGGTGGGGTGGCGGTTGGGATGCTGGACTCCCATATAGCTGACTGCAGTCCCAGACCTGGCAGCTTGCTTTCTCACTTTCCCTCTCTTCGCTCTCTGGTAGGCATATGTGCCCTGAAACAAATTTAAAAATAATAATAGTGAAGATAAATAAAATCAAACAAATAATTCTTAAGTAAAAAAAAAAAACTACTGGGATAAAGCCCCATTTGTTGTTGCTGTCAGTGTCATATAGCCTACAAATGAAAAAGCTCTAAATAGATAGCTATTGCACATGGACTCAGTCACCTCAGCTTCTGAACTTATGCTTGGATGAGGTGGAGAGACACTTTTTTGTAGCTGGGGATGTAGAAAGTGACCAGTAATTTTGGACCATGTCAAAAAAACCAAAAGAACTGAGCTTTTGCTTGGTGGTGGTAATTGGTTCAGAGGCAGCGGCTGGGTTTAATAATGATAGTAGCAAAAATAGGAATAATAATAATAGTCATCACAATATAGCATGGACTACATGCTAGACACTATTCTCAGCACTTCACGCTGATTGACTTCGTGGATGCTTATAACAATCTGTACCAGATAGTACTATCACCATCCTGTTTATACATTAAGGAAGTGTAAAGCTTGGAGAGGTTGAGTAACTTGCTCTTTATTACAAAGCTGGAAAGTGGCAGAGTCTGGATTCAAGCTCAGGAAACATGGTTCCAGAACAGCTCTTGCAGCTTGTTAGATGGTAAATTTCCAGACATTTGCAGAAGCACCTCACAAGAGTCTTCCCAGGCTTTTCAGCATCAGTACAACACATGATGCTTACTGTACCAGACACTCAAGATCTCCCTTGACGTAGTGACTGCTTACAGACCACTCCTTACAGTTAACATTTGCATCAGGTGACCTTTTGTGTGGGGTCATGTTCATTCCCCAGTCATGACTTAGAGTATGCTCTTCTTAGCAGAAAAATTACTCTTTCTCACCCTTGTTGTTCTAGCAGAGTATCTGTAAGGCCATCCCTCACCTCTTCCCACACTGCTCTCTATATCCTTAGAATTCCCAGATCTCCTAAAAGTAGTAACATACAACCCTACAAGTACTTCTTGCTTAGTTTTATCTCCCCAGCTACATGACATGAGTACTCTTGCCAGGTCGCTAACCATTTCTACACCCTGAAAACCCCTTCTTGCCTCAAATGGCACAGACTCTAGATGATCTTGTTGATCCTCAGAAAGCAAAAGGGTGCTTGATGGATTATTAGTGCTGCCTCATTAACCAGATGCCCTTACCCCACTTCCAGGCAGCCAGCCTAGAATGCCATCTCTCCTAATCTTGGCCACAGAGCCAAAATCTAGTCATGGCTCTTTTTTTTTTTTTTTTTAAACAGTCTAAAATTTAATTCTTTCACTGAGAGGAAGTCAAATCATTAAATCATTTCTTCAAACCACTTTCAGATTTTAGGTTGCCTGTCTTCCTTTTCCTTTAAAGTAACTGTAGGCTTTGGGGTTTTTATTTTTTAGGGATGCCAAGTCCCCACTTAAAAGTGGACCAGACAGCAGTGCACAGTAAAAGTGAGGGCTCAGCGTCCGCCATGATGACCAGGAAGAAGCCAGCTGCGGTTGACAGTGTTGCAATCCCACCGTCCCCAGTGTTGTCTCTCCTTGCTGCATCCGCAGCAACCTCAGATGCAGGTGAGTACTTTTCAGATGCTTTGTGCTCACTCCAGGGAAGATGGTTATGGAGAAAGCTCACTAGAATGGTTTCATCCAATACAGGTAAGAGTTCTTAGTTAGCTGAACTCATGTAGCCACAGAGCATGAGAGCTATTTCAGCACTGAGTCTTTCAAGTATGAGGATCTATGAGAAAGAAAGATCACCTTGGAACCTGGAGGAAAGGGTACTCTGAAAAGCATTCCAGTTTATCCTAATACTGCTCCAGTGAGTAGCAACTAAATGATACTACTACTGATAATATTAATCACTTTATCAAACCTTAAGAACTGCTAATTTCTGCCTCAAGAGCATTATGTATATAATCTCATGTAACTCCTAAAAGAACTCCGTGAAATAAATATGTGTAGCCTCATTTTCCAAACAGGAAGCAAAGAGTAAGGAGATAACCCTCAGGAGCCTGTGGACAGTCAGGACTCTGAGACCCATCTTGTCGCTCAGTGCATTGTACTTCCTCTCTTGCTCATAAGGGTTGAAAGACAGAATTACTGGATTCCCTGAGATCTTGATTCATTCTACTCCAAGATTTCAAGAAATCCTTAATAGTCCTCAGAGTCCTCACCAGAGGTCAATGAAATATGAACTTCTGTTCTGATGTCCTGAGTTCTCCTCAACCTGCCCCACCCAGTTCTGCTCTCCCTACTGCCTACGGTATCTCCCACAAGCCTTTGTGCCAGTCCTCATTTTACCAAGCTCATCCCTGGCACCAGGAAAGCAAATTTTGGATTTGGCTTAGCATTGGTATTTGGGGATGGCCTTACTCAATTCTTATTCATACCCTAAAGATTTTCCGGGCCAAACCAATCATAGCTCCTCCTAATACCCATAATATCCAATGTTTCAACTGTGTATTTGCCACCTTTCATTGAGGTTTTTAAATGTTTTCCATTTGGGGCCAACAGATTTTATGGTGGTTAAGGTTGCTGGATTCCCACATGGCCAGCTGTGGTTGAAGTCCCAGACCCAGCAACTTGAAAATTTTGTCAGTTGCATGTGTGTGCATGCCCATGACCCTAACAGGACAATGGAGAAGGGATTTTGGCATGGCCACCACCCCACAGGGGGTGTGATTCCTCACTTTTCCTCTCTGTCTCTCTCCTCTCTGTTGAGTGCAAGCACTGGCTGAGCTGATTAGAGTCCATGACATAGATTTTTGCTACCTTCATGGTATTGCAAGATGATGGCACATTCCATAATCTCTTGTATAATTAAATTGGTAAGTGTGGTAAACATATTGCAGTATTTAGAATTGCCTAATATGATTAGAAGACCAAGAAGAGACCCATTATGCATATTCACTCCAAAAAGAAATACATGGAATGACTTCTTAAATTGAATTGAGCAAAATTAATGAGATGTTTCATGATAAAAGGTGTTTATATCATAAAACAAGTGTAGATAATGCTTCTTTGAACCTGCCTTCTTCCTGCCTGAATCTTTAGAGCCTTTAATCAACTAATGTGTGTTGTAAAGTTCTGGGAAGGAGAGAATTCCACAGTCTTATTTTACTATACAATCCATTTTTCTGGGATTAGCTCTTACTATCTCTTGGAAGTGATATTCTTCCCAGTCATGCAAGTCTTACTTTAAAGGAATGGGGTGGTTTTTCAGATATGACCAGAAATCTTAACACCTTTCACAAACACAGTGTGTGAATGATGCCAGGAAGGAGGACAAGAAGAAAGTAAAGGAGAGAAAGTCACAGGAAAGGGGAAACGGCTACTCTGAAGCTTGCTGGATCAGTAGCCACTTTGTGGAAGGGTGTCTAAGCAGAGGGAGCTTTATGGGCAGAGTCCTGAAAATGGAAACCAGTGCTGTGCCTGAAACTCAAGGAAGACTTAGCTTGTCTGAGCAGAAGATTTGAACTGCAGTCTGCACTACCCACCCAGATAATTGCTTATTCAACCTTGTCAGTTAAGCACCAGGGACCTCCCTTTACGATTCAAAAATTAGCCTGTGTGTTTCTGCCTTTGCTTGCCAAGCACAGATACTTCCCAGGGGCAAGAGACAGGTGGTTTCCCCATTTTTTTCTCCTGTATTCTTTCCATTCAATGTGAGAGAACCCATTCTTGGGATCATATACTTATGTGAGCTTGCAAATATATGTCCAGTAAGTAATTTACAAATAAGCCAAATGGGCTGTAGAATCAGGTGGGTATTAAACTTTTAAACCTGCCTCTCTGGTAATCAGAGCTGAGCCAAAACTCTCTTGTTTCAGGATGCAGCAGTGGGCTGGGGGTTTTTTGGCAGTACTTAAAAATGAGACTCTCATGAGAATTTCACAGGTTTGGTCCATTTCCGGATCTCAGGCTGCCGAGCAGAACTTTGTGGGGGGAAGCAGGCCAGAGATCTACCCCAGGTGCTGGAAGCCAGATCTTCCTGAGAGTTCACTTCCCACAGAAAATTAGCTTTTCACAAACCTGAGAGAGTTAGGAACACACAGGCTGGGCCTGTGTCCAGTGCTCTGTTTCATGTGAGGAAACTGATGCTCCCAAGATTCAGAGATTTGCCGGAGGTCACACAATTGGATTGGAAACCAAATTTCCTGATTTACTGCCTGATTTCCAATGGAATCCCACTTCTGCCGTAAGCCCAATATGAGCAATAGCAGATTTTATTCTCCTTAACCATGGACTCCTACTTCCTTTAGAGAACAGTAAGTGAAACTCATAATTTGATGAAGTGGACAGCCTTAACCAAGGCCGAGCAAATACTAGGCAGTTAATAGCTTCTGGGTTTGATTTCATTTAATTGGATGCTCGTGTAATTGTCATATATGTTTCTGACGAGACAACTCACTTGATTTTTATTCTTTAGAATGTCTGTCTTCATCTTTCATATAAGCAGAGTAATTTAGAGTTACTTTTATCTGTATACAGAAGTCACTGTATTTTCTAATAGGTTATCATTTCCACAGAATAGTTTGGGAGACTCAGATCTTCCTGGGGGGTGGGGGGAGGAAGAGGATAGAAGACTAAGTGGCTTGTAAAGCAAAATTAAGTAATTATTTAGGTATGACACTATTAAAATAATTCAATTTATTAGAAATTATTTTTATTTAAAAATAATAGGTGCTAAAGTATCTAGCATGGTTTTGGACAAATAGCAGATGTTCTGTAAAGAATCACAGAGTAAGGTGAATGGTTGAGAAGCAGTAACAGTGTGCTTATACAGTGCTTAACATGATGTGAGACGTCTGATAGAAACATAGTCTTGGAACTACTTCACAGTCAAATGGAAAACAGTCAACAGATACATTTTTTTCCCACAAATCATGAATATATTTAACACCAAGTTATTGAATCTACCATTTTTATTCTAAACAAATTTTAGACTTAAAAGTTGCAAAAATAGTACAAAGAGTCCTCTTACAAACCTCACTCACTTTTCCTAGTGTTGACATCTTACTTAACCACAGTGTAATTATCAAGAACAGGAAATTACCATTAGGACATTATTAACTGAACAACAAAAATTATTTGAGTTTCACCAGTTTTTCATCTAATGTCCTTTTTTCTATTTCAATATCTTATCCTAGATCTAATTTTGCATGTAGTTATTATTTCTCCACAGTCTCCTCCATCTGTAAATAACAGTTCAGTTTTTCTATCTTTCGTGATCGGGACACCTTTGAAAAGAACTGATCAGTTATTCTGTAGAATGTTCATTTGGGGTTGTTTGATGTTTCAAACAATTGGAGTGAACTTATGTGTTTTGGGGAGAATGCATTATATCAAGGGACTCGTGATTTTGACATGTTTTGTTACTGGTGATATTTACCTAGATCATTTGGCAATGCCATTTTAATACAAAAGAAGGAAAGTGCAACAGATACATTTTAGGTTGTTGTAAATATTTGCCAAAAAATTAATCAGTCTACAGTCTTACTGGTACTTTTTCAAACTGGGAATCTTGGTATGGGAGTGAAAAAAGGAATGTTTCCTACCTTATTGTGTAACATTGCAATATTATAGAAATCGTGCTAGTCAGAGGTTTAAAAATGCCTTTTCCCATGTGTAAGTGTGGGTGTATACTCACACACATGTGCACAAAAAAAGGAACACCCCATTTTTTTTTTGAGGCAGCTTTTTAGCTTCTCAAAGTCCAGGAGTCATGCTGATAATGAAGTTATTGATTTATAGGAGGGGCGTAGAGGAGATGCAGGAGAGGGTGGCTGCCTGGGAACATGTCAGTTTGTGAGCTACTGGGAGGAAAGAAGGGCAGTGGCTGCCACTGGTGCTCAAGCAGGTCAGCCTTCGTGATCAAACTGCTCAATAGCTATTGATCAGCTGCAGTCCCCTGGCACAGCAAAGGCGGTCTGATTCTAGGGAGCACTGCATCATTATTGTGAGTAATTAGGGCTAATGCAGTAAAAGCTTCAATAAAGTTTGCTCAAAGTGATACATAATTTGAAACAACTTCTATTGCAGTAACCCAATAATGATTTAATAATCGTATCAGATAATCCTGAATAAACCAGGCTAATTTTTCTGATCTTCCTCATATTGAACTAACTTCTCAAAGATGACTTTATTAATAAGGACAGCCCAAATAGTGATTAAACATCAAGAAAACAAATATCTTCTATGTTACACTGCTGAAAATCTAGACTAGGAATAACAGCAGAACAAGAGCAAGTTGAACATTCTTAATGCGAAAATCCAAAATCTGAAACTTTTCAAGCACTGCTATGATGTCAGGAGTGTTAAATTCTACACCTGATCTCATAATAGGTCACAGATGAAACACTGCAAATACCAAAATATCACATAAAATTAGCATCAGGTTGTATGTCCAAAGTGTATATTAAACGTAAATGAATTTGGTGTTTAGACTTGGATCCCATACCTTTATGTCTTTATGCAGATGCCAATACTGAAAATCTGGAAAAATTTTAAAAATTCTAAACACTTCTGGTCCCAGGAATTTCAGATAAGAGATGCTCAACCTGTATATCTTT